GATGTAAGTAAATAGGAGATATTTATGTAAAATGTAACTAAAAATTAATGTACCTAAAATTTATATAATAATATAATGTAACATAACATAATATAATATAATAAAATATAACTAAACAATAGGAAAATGATTAAATATCTTCCTTTTTAGACCAAGAGGAAAGATGAGTCACTATCTTCATGAGTATTCTTTCAAGAAGGGGAAAGTTCAGCTGCATCAGACTGCCTCTAACCTCAGGAATCAGCAATAGTGGAGTCCGGTTGCTTTCAAGTCTATCTCTCTACCCTCCATTCCACTTCCTCACCCTCATTTGCCCAACTCCCAATGCAATCAAATACTCATCATCTCTTCCTCACCATCATGTCCCTATGCACACTGCTCATTCCTCCTCATGTGGTTTCCTTCCTTTCTTCCTTTAGGATGAGAGGATAGACTGTCTTTTCTCCTGAGGCAGTGACAGCCTTGCTCTTTCCAGAAGCTCACAAAGACAAGCACAGAGGAACTTTCTGACTACAAAGAATTGGCATTCAATATCCCACTACATAAATTCAAAGAATTCTTATTCATAGCCACTTCTCAAAATCAGATCTCCTAAAAAAGAAAAGAAAACAAAAAAGCACTGTAAGAACCAACTGTCCTACCATCACTCACAAGGGTCCTCCAGGTTTTGCCATCTGCCCTATTACTTTCCCTGCCTAAGCAAGGCCTGGCCTTTCCATCTGCCATGAACTGAACATGAACATGAACATGAACTTTTGTATACATTGTCTGCCAATTTGAATGTGAGCTCTTTGAAAGCATGAACATTCTCAGTTGTCAATTTTTATCCCCAGTACTTAGCACAATGCTTTTTACATATAGTATGCACTTAATAAATGCTTTTCCATTCCCTTCCCTTCAAGTTAAAAAAAAAGGAGGGGGGAGACACAGTCATACATAGGGTTATCCTCTGTTACAGGCATCCTTGAGTAAGTCTGTGACAAAAGGCTGTCCTCAAATCTTCACTTTGATTTATTATGTCCCAAAGAGTCTTTACTATCTGTTAGAATAAGGAACATCCTCCACTAAAGTTTTATTCTGATTTTTCAGCATGGTTTGGAGGAAGCCCTGGGATCTCAAAGGCCCTATCATGAGCTCTGACAGATCCTATTAAGCTGAATATGGGGCTTTTACACATGCTTTCCTAAGGATTCACTGGCAGCTAGTTCAGTGGGTGGTTCTTCAAGAACAGGATACAACAGGTTATGAGGGAAGATAGGGAAACTGAGAGGAAGTTGAAAGCTAAAAAGGGAGTGAGTGAGCAATTCAATTCAACAAACTTGTACTAAGTGACTACTCTGTGTCAGGCCTCGTGCTAGACTCTGAGATACAAAGAAAAATTTGAAATAGTCCTTGCCTTCACGATGTTCGAATTCTACTGGGGAAAAACAGCAGACACATAGATAACTAAATACAAAAAGAATTATATAAAATACATGATGTTGGTGTGTAGGAGAGGCACAAGCAACTGGGGGCATCAAAAAAGGCTTCTCATAGGAGCTTGCACTTGAATTGAACCTGATTGCACAAAACAGAGGTAAGGAAAGGCAGCATTCCAGGATGTATAAAGGCATAGGGGCAAGCAGTGGAATGCTGTGCCCAGTGAACATCAAGACTGGCTGAAACTTAGAGGGTAATGGAGAATAATGTGTAATCAGCCTAAAAAGCTAAGCTAGTGGGGCAGCTAGGTGGCACAGTGAATAGAGCACTGGCCCTGGAGTCAGGAGGACCTGAGTTCAAATCTGGTCTCAGACCAGACACTTGACACTAGCTGTGTGACCTTGGGCAAATCACTTATCCCCAGTTGCCTTGGGGGGTGAAAAAGCTAAGCTTGAACCAGAACATGAGGGAAGGATTTTAGATGCAAAACAGAAAAGTTTTTGTTTTATTGTAGAGAGCTCCTAATGCTTCTGAGCAGGGGAGTAACATGGTCAGACTTATGCTCTGGAAACTGTAGAGGAGAAATAGAGTGGAAAAGTAAAGACTTCATAAATACTTCATACACTAATTTTGCCTAGGGTCAGCCTTTTTGTGAAGAGCTTTTGATCCAATTAATTAAAAAGATTGATCTCATTCTTCCACTTTTGATTTTATTTTTTTTAAATGTTCTGTTGGCTTCAGTGTAAATTGGAAGGGATTTTTCTTCTGTTAAGCTATGGGTGATGGAGTGACTCCATGCAGTTGCTGTTTGGTGAAAAATTATTCTGTGGTCTGTACTCTATGGAATACTTTGTAAAATTGAAAGCAGATTTGTCCCCAGTAGGGATACCTGAAAATTTTCCAGTACTGCAGTGATCTAGGGATTTTGTAAATGCTGCTAATGCTATATTTAGATACCACACTGAATTCAGAGAAATTATGGTTTTCCTTTAAGGCATAGATTCCACACCTCCTATTTAAACTAAATCGCCTTTAGAGTTAATAGGAGGAGTTTTGCCTAGATAACAAGCAACAATCTGTCCATAAGTAATATGGAGAAAATATTTCTGAATGCACAAATGTTTTCTTATTTAAGTTATTTATATATGAAAGCCATGAAAGGCCCATGATAAGACACAATTTGTATCCTCATTGTCAATTAACTGAAGCAACTCTGAAAAGGAAAATTGTTTTAACTATTAAATTACTATATTCTCATACCTTCTTTAATTCTTCAAACTGTGACTCCATCTGAGCCTGTAAAAATAACTTTAAATTCCAAAGACTAGTGGAGCATGAAAATTTGGTTTCATTTTCAAAACTCCTTTGTTGAGAAATGCGCCTTAAAAAGCAACTCTCATCTTACCCCTTGTGCCTCTAACAGCTGCAGGATGAGTTATAAAATGGACTTTGCTCAATCTGAAATTTAGGTTTTGAATCCATGAGGAACTAAACTATAATGTTTTTACATTGACTAAAAAGAGAGGCTTTACCCTCATGTAATAAGACTGTGGTATAAGCAGCACTTTGCTAAATGGTAAAAGTAAAAGAGCCAGCATCTTTTACTCCTCAACTTTTGTACTATTAATGTCTTACTTTACTGCTGAATTTGACACCCATCTGTGCAGAACTCCAGTGCACCAGGCAAGATACTGCACCCAAGATACACACACATCTACTAGAACACAAGTGTACATTTTGATTTATGTGTTTAAAAAAGAAGTCATATGTATTGGGGGTGGGGGGTGGCTAGCTAATCCCTAATAACTATCAGCTCAAGTACAGCATGCTTCTCTGGTGCTGAAGCCAGAGATCTTTGAAGAACTGACAGCTCCTGAGGACCTAGGGCCATGGTGATTTTTCAAGTTTTATCCCAGAGCTAGATCAAAAATCTCTGGAGACCCATGATAATGGCTTGTGATGCATTCTTTATTTATAACTGCCTTCCCATCTAATGCCAATGCTTTAAGTATTCTGAGGGAAGACACCAATGCCATAATCTTGTCTGCACTTATACTGACATGCAATACATCACTGTCATTATCTTTCAAAAATCACAATGAGATTGCAGAGCACATGTGTATCTGTACCTTTGCAGCTGTGATGATTTCAATATTTTCATTACAGAAAAATAATCAGTTAAATATGTATACCTCTATTGTATTTCTCATATTAAAAACAAATGCCCCATGCATGACTTCATTGCTTTTTTTCCTCTTCCCTTTAAAAAAATTTTTTTAATGTTGCCCAAGATTTTAAGCACTGTATTCTGAATAAATAGCAAACAGTCTGATAAATTTTTGCTTTCTATATGCCTTTTTTGGCTGCATTGGGAAGAGTGATAAACTGATGCCTGTGTAAAGTTTGTAAAATATTTTGGAATAATTTTTATGAAACACAAAATTTCAACTAATATCCTCTGAAAGTGTACTTCTAGCTATAGGAGTCTACTATCCTATAAAATATTACAAGTTTGTATAAATACCTTTACATGTACTTTGTTCCTAATTGGAGACTATTATGAGATTTCTTCTTCTAGTTGCTGTCACTTCCCTACCTTGTAGGATGGTCATAAGGAAAGTGCTCATACTACTAAACAATAGATATAGTTTATATACTAAATACTATAGAAATGTGAGTTATTATTGTGGTGGTTATCCCTAAATAATGCTTCCTTGAATTCTCATATTCTCTCCTCCAACCCTGCCGGCTCAGCTTTTAGCTTCCTGATTCCAAGAAAATAATTCTCACTAAGGTCATTATATTCACATTAATCATTTTATCAACCAATGATTTTTTGCCAATTGTCAAACACATCAAAGTGGTTTTTAAAAATGGTCCCTACTCACAAGAAAATGGCACTGTAACTGGAAAGATAAGATACATCTAGAAGAAATCATATAATTAGGTGCTATATTTTACAGTAGATGCTATCAGAGCCCTAGAATAGAAAAGATCAGCATGAGCTGTCTCAATTAGGGAAGGTTTTGTGGATAAGATGAAAGTTGAGATTTGACCTGAAGAAATATAAGATGTTAGTTTTTTAATTATATGAAAGGAAAGGCAAGTATTTTATTGGTGGGAAAAAAACAACATGAGTAAAGGCATAAAAGTGAAAATAAGCATAACGTACATGGAGGCAATATAGAGACCAAACTGATGAAAGAAGTCTTTGGAAATTAGGACGTCAGGCAAGAAAGGTATGTTTGGTTAATGGGAAGTATTAGGTACTAGATTGAAAAGTGAGGCATAGTAGAGAACCATGGAGAGAAGATGACACTAAAGTCCAGCTACAGCCAATAACTGTGATGGGTTTGTCACTAAGGCAGAGAGGCCAAGTGAGTGGTGACACATTCTTTCCCCACCTCCTCCCTCTCTCTCTCTCTCCAGAGAGGAAGCCAAATGTGGTCTGTTCGCTCACTTTAACTTCTTTGTTCCCTTCTGGGCTGGGAGGTTTAGCCTTTATTTTTAAACACATGTTGGTTTTTAAGTTTGTAGCTGTAATAAAAAAAAATGTTGCCAAACCGGTGGACTTTACTTACTGTTTATCTATATTGAGGAATGAAAGAAAGCCCACTTCTATTTGGAGACAGGAGATTATCTGATCAATGGAAGCTGGTCAGGGCACTTGGAGCTAATTGAGAACAGTGAGACAGAATGAAAAAAATCACTCTTAGATTGTACAGATCTAGCAGTGAATTCAGTAAATTCAAAATTCGCATATCCATAGAAATAATATTTCAAGCTAGAAAGACCAACAGGGTACGGTGGTGGGAGGTAGGGGGGAGCAGACATTTTCCTTCCTTTACAATTTTTTTCCCTCTCTCCATGAAGTAAGGGGACATGAGTCATTTGGAAAGGAAAAATTATGCCCCTTGAACAGGCATAAACTGCTAAGGAAGCTTCATCCACAGGTAGGGAGAGGGAGTAAGTTATATGGCAATGCTCAATAGGTCCAATGGTTCAGGGAATGACTGACAGCTCAGCTGCCTAGCTCCCAGGTGCCACCTGCTGTTTAACAATAACAATGGAGGGGTTTCAATTCTCCAGATATCTGTTGGAATTCTTGGAAAATATAGCAGCTGATAAATTCTTGACATGTCTAAATGAAAATTTTAATCTTTAAGAAGTAGAAGATTCTGATCAATAAAGATGGAACTGGTTGTTGACATAGAAACAATCGGAACTTTGAAAGGAAATTACCACTCCATCTTATAATCAGTGATACAGAAGGAGAAGAAAAGTCAAAAACAGTTTGAAATGTACCCCAGAGAAAATATTGGGAAAGTAGATTTCAAAGGGTTTAGACAACGTATAGATAGGAAGCCATGGCCTAAAATTCTACTGGGGAAGTCAGACCAAGAAGGATATAAAGCTTTTAGCAATGAAATTCTAAAAACATAAACATGAATGATCTCAATGAAGAAGAAAATGAGATAGCTGTCTAAAGAGAATAATATATGTATTTATCTACCAATACTGATTTTTAACAAAATATTTGTAGAACATGGAAGCAAGAACAAATAATAAAGGATAAAGTCAAAAGAAGAACATGGTAAAAATATAAATTACCCAATCAACACACATTCATTAAGCACCTACTTGATGGCCAAATGGAGGATCGACTGGAGTGGGAAGAGACTTAGGTAGGCAGACCCACTCCCAGACTATCATAATAATATAGGCATGAGGTGATGAAGAACTGAACTAGAGTGACACTAGTGTCACAGGAGAGAAGTATTCAAGAGACATTGCAAAGGTAAAATCAACAGGCCTTGGCAACAGAATGGATATGTGGGATGAGGGATAGTAAGGAGTTCAGGCTGACTCCTAGGTTACAATAGCATTGCCCACTACAGTAACAGGGAAAGTTTGGGACAGGGAGGAAGAGAGAGACTTTAAGTGGAAAAATAATGAGTTCTGTTTTGGACATAATAAGTATAAGATATTCTACTGGATGTCTCATTAAAGATATCTGAAAGGCAGTTGGAGATGTGAGATTGGAGGTTAGTAGAGAGTCTGGAACAGAATAGGTAGATTTGAGAATCAACATCTCTATCAGGCTAGAAATGGTAATTAAATCCATGGGAGCTGAAACTATAGAGAGGGAGAAGAGAAGAGGATGCAGGACTAAACCCTGAGGGACACTTCTGGTTAGAGGGTGTGATCTAGAAGAGGATCCAGCAAAGAAGACAGAAAAGAAACCATAAGATAAGTAGGAGAACCAGGAGAGAGCGGTGTCCAAAAACACAGAGAGAAAAGAGCATTGAAGAGGAGAGAGTGATCATCAGTGTCAAAGTGTCAAGAATGGTAAATCTCATAATGAGCTGAGGCTGGCAATGATCGCCAAGGATTTTTTTAAAGAATTTTTTTAAGAGTTGTAATTAATAAGTTGATGTCAGCCTGGAACAAGGTCTCTAATGGAGCATCCCAGGACTCTGATCTTGCCCTTTCACTGTTTAACATTTTTATCAATGACATGCTTTCTATAGCACATTTATCAAATGTGAAGATGACATAAAGGTGTCAGGAGAGATAACTTACTGTACATGTTAGATGACAGTGTCAGGTTCCAATAACAAGATAATAACAAGCTGGAGTGGTGGATCAATTTTAATGAGATGAAATTTCATATGGATAAGTAAGTTCTATACAAAAAATCAAACACAGAAATGTAGAATAAGGGCATAGCTAGATGACAGTTCAAGTGGAAAAAATATCTGTTAGTTTGGGGACTTCAAATTACATATGAAACAGCAGATTGCTAAAATAAAATAAAATATTAGGCAGAATTAAGACAGATATAGTGTCCAGGACTAGAGAGGTAATAATCCCATACTATTCTGCCCTGGTCAGAGTTCTGCACACTTCATTTTAGGATGGACATTGATAAATTAGAGCACTTTCAGAAATGGACTACTGTCTTCTTCAAGTGGGGAAAATGGAGATTACACAATATGAGGATCAGTCCTCTAAACCTCTATAACTCCACCAGCTAGCCTGTGATTTTCCAAGCCAAAACATCATTCCTTGGCCATCATTCCTTGTTGTCACTCATTAGAGTATAAGCACTTTGAGGACAGGGATTATCTCACTTTGCATTTGTATCTCCAGAGCTTAGGATGGTGCCTGGCACATGGTAAGCATTTCATAAATTTGGGGGGTTTTTCATTCATTTATTCCTTTTTCACTAAAACAATTGGACCGAGGATCATACATCATGGAATCTAGCACTGGGAGAATATCTAGTCCAACTCCTTCATTTTAAAGATGAGGAAACTGATGCCCAGAGAGGTGAGGTGAACAATTTGTTCCAAAGCCACAAAAATTAGTAAGCAGAAGATTTGGGATTTGAACCAGGTCCTCTACCTCCAGATGCACTTCTCTTTCCACTGTACCATGGTACCTAGAAAAGAGAATATTTACTGGAGACATTATAGCTGGCCTCAAGTATTGAAGGTTTATCAAGTGGAAAAGGAATCTGATTTATCCTGTTTGGCCCCAAGGAAAAGAATTAGGCTATTAGGTGGACATTTCAAAGAGGGTGATTTAGGCTCAGCATATGGAAAATCTTCCTAACAACAAGAGTTATTTTAAAATGGCTATCTTGGAAGCTAGTGGGTTTCCTTCACTGGAAGTTGTCAATTGGAGTCACCTGCTTCTCCCTGATGTCATAGAAGGGATTTTCATCTAGATATGGTTTGAACTAAAAGATCTTTGAGACACCTTCAATGCTAAGATTCAGTGATTCTTTAATAATAGAAAGTCAGTGTAGGTCCTTGAGTGACACAGAAGGATAGAGTCATTGAATCTGAAATGAAGAAGGGAACTTTGGAAACCTCTTACTCCAACTCTTAGAGTTTTATAAATAAGGAAGTGATGTTTCTGAAAAGTCAAATAAGTTGCCAAAGGTTCACAGAACTAGTTAATGTAAGTAATGCTTACCTACCTGATGTTCAGTGGCACAATCTGCCCTAACAATTTCCATAACCACAAGGAAAACTGGAAATAGGGAACCCCTGCCCCGACCTGGGACACAGGGTCTCTGTCCGAGTGTTCACAATCTAGATAGTCAGTTTATGAATATATGACACAGAAGTTTAAAGAGGAATGTGGTTCCCTGGCCTCTATGCTCCTGTGGCTGATGTGCCACAGGACCCTGCTAGCCTTTTTTAAGGGAGCAAAATCATTTATGGTTGCTCCTTTGATATGTTCCATCGCTAGTATCCAATAGAAATCTGAGAGACATTGAAAACTATCAAATCTTGGTGTCCAATTTGTTCCTGAACTCCATCTGATACCTGAAGATCCTTAAGCACAAAGATCTAGCTGTGTGATCCTGGGCAAGTCATTTATCCTCTGTTTGCTTCAGTTTCCTCAACTATAAAATGGGGATAAAATAACATCTCCCTCACAAGGTTGGTGAGGTTGATGAGAATCAAATGAGGTATTTGCAAAACTTAGCTCAGTGCCTAGCATATTATATGCTTATTGCCTTTCCTTGTGCTACAATGCTAAAGATGGGTCATGGGCTGCCCCATATTACACACATGCCCCACACTGGCTCATAGAATTTTATTTTGGATATACATGAACCTAGACAGGTCATTTGCAAAATAAGGAGTCCCACAATATGCTTATAGGAACATATTGGGAAGATTGCCATTTTTTCCACGATGCCTACCTGGACACCTCACTAATCACTAGACATGCTGTCACTGTCCCCTTCTCTAGGTGGAGGGCCAAATTTTTATGGGCTCCTGAAGGGGAGAGTTAAGGGAAAGTGTCACTTATCTGGGTTCCTAAAGAATTGAAGGGAAAGAATTGAAGTCTTCTCTGAATATATTGGTGGCTCTTCCTTAGTTCTTGATTGATGTACTGGTTTTCCAAGGCAATTTGCCTAGCAGAGTTTTGTTCATTCCTTGAGGCCCTCTTTGGCCTATTAAATTTACTTGTAGTCTCCAAGGTCTCTCAAAATCCCACTGTACTCCCCTTGAACACAACGCCCTTTCTTAGCTTTCTGCTGTCTCTGGATGGCTTTTCCTATCTCATATTTCCTCATTGAGTCCCACATTATTCTGATTCCCTAATGTAAGGGACTAATGATGTAGGAAGATCAATCTGGCAGCAATGTTAGAATAGGGGTAAGGGAAGATATTAAAAGCAGAGAGACCAGTTATAAATTTACTGAAGCAATCAAAGCATGAGGTAATAAGTAAGGGTCTGGACAAGAATGATGGCAGGGGAATGGAGAGGAATGGAAAATTGAAAAGATATTGAAAACGCAAATGCTGACAGCATTATTTCTTGGACTTCCCACCGTTGGTAACATTTAAGCTTGATTAGTTTCTACTGATATTGGCATCAACCACACTGCCCAGATTGTTTTCACTCATGGCAAAAAAAAAGTGTACATAATGAGATGGTTGGCAAAGTTTGGGGTTTATCTAGGGCCACTGAGAGTAACTCCTTAGTGCCTTCTCAGGTTTATCACTCCACTTTGCAATTATGCAACACTGAGAGCAACTTTCCTTGTTCCTACAGAGTCAATTCCAAATTCCACACCTTGTCATCCAAGGCCCACCACAATTCTGACTTACAGTACACATAATAATATCTTACATTTATATGTGG